ATCAACCACTATAATCATAATAAAATTAAATGATGATTTTTTAAATATATTTATTATTTAATTAAAAATATTTGAAATATAGAAAACATTGTATTGCAATTAAAATTTTTAATATATTAATAATGATATAAATTTAATTTTATTTGAATTTATATATATAAAATATATTTAAATTTATATTTTTTATATTAAAACATATATAAATATTTTTGTTATATATCAAATATGAATTTAAAAAATATGATTTAATAAAAAATATTTTTGGCATATATCAACTATGAATTTAAGTTTATATTTGTGTTATATTAAAAATATATATAAATATGAATTTAAAAAATATATCAAATAATAAAATTGACCAGTTCAATCAACCAATTTAAAATTATATATCAAATATATCAAAAATAAAAATATATAAATATGAATTTAAAATTATATATCAAATATATATACACACACACACACACATATATATATATATATATAGAGAAAGGATCATATGAGAATGACTCTTAATGCGAGAAATGAGAATGATTTTAGATCATTAGATCCAACATATCAATGACCATGATCAAGTCAAATATTAAATATGGCAGTCAACAGACAATGGTGATTTTGTAATTAAGTATACATATCATGGTCAAATTTTTGCATTTGATCACTTAGTGAGGACAGATTGGTTATTTCTCACCCATCTACTAACTAGTGGACCCCACCACTCCCACCATCTCCCCATCAGCGTTTTCTCTTTCTCACACCATAACACACAGTTCACGCACACAAAAACACACACCCACCCGGTCAACACACCACCACCGGATGTGCCTCCGCCGACAACCAAACTGTCGCCACCATCACCTCGCCGCAATCGACACCGTCTCAGGCGTCAACATTTCTCTCTCGCACTATCACCGTGTGTGTCTCTCTCTCTCTCTCGCTCAATTTATCTCGTTTTTGCCGCTGATGGCTTATCTTCTCCGGCGACTAGAATACCTACCGCGGGCCACGGCTGACGTTACCGGCGTCAGCGGCTGATACACCGTCGTCGTTGACCCCAAGCTCCGTATCATCTCGTCGGCCATGGAGTCGAGTTGACAAAATCCCTAAATACCATATTGACCTAATTGTTAGTTTCCACCATTATCAAGGCGTCAGGTTCAGGCTACCGCCGCCGACGGGCTCAACCCGGTGGTCAGAAGCACGTCACCATGCTCGCGTGCGTGAGAATCGCCGGCGGAGACAGGCGATGATTTGTTGAAGGGATGAGGGCTTTCTTTTGTGAATTGGATAAGTACCAAGGACTTATTTGCAAATTAAGATAATTTAACTATAATGTAATTTAATCTATGGGGCTTCTCAATCTCTGCTTTGTTCCTGTGCAGTGTTAGTTGGTCCTACTTTGCTTTGTTTCTGTGGTTTTAGTTTTCTGCTTTGGATTTCCTTTTAGGTGGTACTTAGTGTTTAGTGATTTGTGTTAGTTGGTCCTATTTTGCTTTGTTTATGTGGTTTTAGTTTTCTGCTTGTTTCATTTTAGAAGGTAGTTTGTGTTTAGTGATTTCTGTGGCAGGTTGTCTGCAGGTTTCGGGTTATCCAGGATTTAGGCCAAATGTGTTTTGTCCTCCATTCCCATCTTATGTGTATAGTAATTCAAACTTTGTTTGTTTTTTTAATGAGATTCCTATTGTTTGCAAAAAAAGAAAAAAAAAATTAAACTAAAAAATAAAGTCGGCCTTGAACCAAAATAATCGAAGATTTAACTGTAAATGCAATTCGAATTGATATACAAAGTCTTCAACCGATTTTTTTTAGACTGTTCTGATACGTTCGTTATTGTGCAATCTAACGGACATTAAAGTGCAATTTTTCTAACATCGTCATGCATAATTTTCGGCTACTGTTGTGTAGTGTGAACTGACCAAATTTTTTGCCCTGATTAAATTGAAATCGAACCGAATTACTTGATTTATTTGATCGGCTAGCTGAATTACCTTAAATAATCAAAATATATTATCATTTTATATTATACGAATATATTTAGTAATTTAATAGTTTTATTTATTTATTTCAATATTATTTTTTGTTGAAATGCCATAATATACGAAACATCAGGTATAATATACAAATTATATTTTTTATATGATTCAATCAGTTATGTTATTTTTTTTTCTTTGTAAATAAAATCGAAGATGCACACTGTTATATTAATGTGCGCTATCAAGCTCAATAACGTGCATTCGTTATCACACTATTGTGCATCCTGATATTCACTAAGGCGCAATATTTAGTGAAAGTTTTTTTTATGTGCAAATTCACTTTTAAACTGAACTGAAATAATCATTTTAATTGATTGGTTAACTAAATTGACATAAATAATTTGAAATAATTTATTATTTATATTATAAAATTTTATTTTTTTATTTTAATATTTTGTATTATTATTTATTCAATATATTTATTAGTCAGTTTAATATAAATGTATAATTATATAAAAAGTAATATTTTTTATACGTTCTTTTAAATTATAGATTTGGCCATAGACCAACCAACTAATATTATTTGATCGATCATTAGAATTACTGTAATTTTAGTACATGTAACGCGTTGTGTTATAAGGTGCAATGTATTTGTGCATAAAGTGCAATGTATTGATATATAAAGTGCAATACTGAAAGGTATTCTAACAGGATTTTTTTTATTATTATTTTTTTTTTTGTGTGTGGATATATGATGTGATGAATAGTAAAGTATTATGTCACTCCGTTTTTTATATTTATATTGCGTAATATTTTGGCGGGAGTTGTTGACATTAATTAATTGTGAAGTGTGGTTATAAAGTGCAACATGTTGTTTTATAAAGTTCGACGAATTGTTTTATAAAGTGCAATATTCTGTTATATAAAGTGCACTAATTTATTGTTTTATAAAGTTCGACGTATTATTTTATAAAGTGCAATATTCCATTATATAAAGTGCACTAATTTATACTTTCTCATATGTATTCGAAAATTAGTTTTAATAGATATAATTTTACATCTAATTAATCTAAATAATTAACATATATTTTCATTTATTATTTTTATTATATAATTTATTTATTATTACAAATTATTTTAATATTTATATTATTTTTATTTAATAATTTATTTGTTATTTAATATATATGCATAGCAAAATGTATAAAAAAATATTTTTTTTATTAAATTTCAATATGTACAGATTTGACCCATAGGGTTAAATTGAGATATAATTAAATTGTTAAAATTGCAAATAGGTACCCATGCTTAATCTAATTCTCAACAAAAGGCCCAATCCACAATCCAATTTCAGATTTTAAATCGCTGTATTTTTTCCGACCGGAGCCTCAATTTTGCGCCACCGTTCTGACCGCCACAATCCCGGTGGAAAACAGTGTCCGCCATGGCCGTGCAGGAGCTACCGGAGCTTTCATGTCCGACCACCATGTCGTCGCCGCGTGTTCCTAGATTGACCATGGATATCGGGATGGTGTTGCTTCTGTCGTAGGTGGAGAAGAGGCTGCAAGACATTGACGGCAGCGCCGTCAAAAGCTGCGGCGAGCGGTTGTGCGACCACGGACGGGCGATCTGTGAGCTTCCGGAGGTGGCGGCTAGACAGGTGCTGCTTTTTGCCGGTGTCGGTAGCCGGATTGCGACGTCGGGATCACTGGAAATTACGTCGGCGGTCAGAGATGCCTTCTGGTGACGCGATTGTTTGCTGAGGGAGAGAGAGATATATCACGAGGGAGAGAGGCAGACATCGTGAGGAAGAAAGAGAGAGATATGTGGTGGGAGTGATTTGGGTGGGGCCCACTGGTATAATTAGGGTTGGTGAATGGGGTTTGGTGGGTAATAAATTAATGTGAAGTAGGGCCCACTTGTTGGGTGCAGTGTGAAAAATTACTGGCATATCCTTAATGAAGGTATATTTTTTGTTTTTTAATAAGCCGTTGGATCATGCGATCCAATGGATACGATGTATTCTTATTTCTTTCTTTAAGTATCATTCTCATGTGAACCCAACCCTATATATATATATATACAATTGACCAATCTGATCAACCAATTCTGTCTGGTTCATTGAAAACCAGTTCTTTCAAATGAATCCAATCATTTGACCGATTCTAAAAATTAAAAATAATAGTAGTTGATTTTATTTTTATTTTTGTTTTTATTTTTATTTTACGTTTTAAATTTTTATTAACCTCTAAAATTATATTTTTATTTTTTATCATCCAATATAATTATAATAATATTAAATAATTATTTTGTAAAAATATTTATTATTTAATTAAAAATATTTTGAATACATAAAACATAATAATATAAATTCAAATATATTTGAATTTATATATATCAAATATATTTAAACTTATATTTTTGTTATATTAAAAAATATAAAATTTATTAACTTATTTAAATGTATATATATTATTGACCAGTCCATTCAACTAATTCTAATCGGTTCATTGGAATCAATCCGTTTAAAGGAATCAAACCGTTTAGTTGACCAATTATCGATTCAACAACAAGTTTGGCCGATCTTTCAACCAATAGTAGTTGGTATTACTTCTATTTTTATTTTTATTTTTATTTATAAATTTTATTAACCTCTAGAATTCTATATTTCTAATAAAATTAAATAATTACTATTTTTTAAATATATTCATTATTTAATAAAAATTAATTTTAAATATAGAAAAAATTGTATAGCAATTATTATTTTTTGTCTCAAAACTAAATTTTTACTATCAAATATTGTTATATACTCACGGAATAAAAATTGCAACAAAAATTAGTAATAAAACTATTTTTTTAATATTTGGGACTAAATTTCCAACAAAACCAATCTTATGGGACTATATATGCAATTTTTTCAATATTTGTGACTAATGACAAACAGTGACTTAACGTTCAGTTAGATTTGGGACCAATTGCGCAACAAAAATTAGTTAAGGACTGAAATTGCACTTCTTGGGACTAAAATTGCGAACGTCCAAATCTAACGGGACCAAATTTGCAATTAACTCTATTCAAGATGAACATTTATTTTAGCTAGACTTTTAAGTACATAAAAAGTATATATTTTTTGCATTAAAAATTGGTATGTTAGTCTTAATGTTCTTAGTTACAAATTGAATTACTGAATACCATTAAAATTTTCAATTTTAAAATACTTAATGTTTATTTATTTGTTACCCTTTTTATACATAATATATCACATCGTTTCTTTCCAATGATGTTTAATTTGACCAATGTGTTGTAAATAAAATAAAATAAATATACTTAGTTCTATCAATATAAAATCATATATATATATATATATATATATCAATACTAATTTAGAATAATAAATGTACCTAAAAGTATCTTATAAAATTAATTATAAATTCATGTGAAACAACTTTTATTAATTATGGAAAAAACATAAGATAAATTTGTGCTATATTTTACTTACATAGATTTGAAATATTCATACAGATAGAAAAACAAATAAAGTTGATTCCATTGTCATGAAAGAAGACATCTCCATTAATGTTTAAAAATTCTTTTCATTCTTTTGGTATACTATAATGCTGCTACATCGTTCCCTATGCACATGAATTCTATTTATATCATCAAGCAACTACTCAGCACCATTGGATGGCTTTCACGTGCCATCTCATGCTTACAAGCCATTGGATCATAATGCATGCTTTTAGGGTTACAGTTTTTGTCCTCTTCCTTAACCGTGTTGCAGCTTTTCTTCATTTGCTTTATCTGCATATTTTGAGACTTGGCATTTGGGCTGCCAGATAAGTGAGGTGGATCATTGACTTCTTGGACTTTGCTGCTGACATGGACATCCACGTATGCATGGTGAATTAGCTGAGTCTTAACATGCCCCCTCAATCCTATGCATGACTTAGAGAGAAGCCTCAATCTGTTTCTAAGGTTTGTATAGGATTGTCCAGTCAAGGGTTTTGTGAAAATGTCGGCTACTTGTTCACAAGAAGGTACATGCTGCACAGACACCACTTTACTTTCCACTTTCTCCCTAATGAAGTGAAGATCCAATTCCAAGTGTTTTTTTCTTGCATGATAAACCGGATTTGATGCTAGATAAACTGCTCCTCTATTGTCTACCCATATTGTGCTTGGTTTAATGAACTTAACTCTGAGCTCATTCAAAAGGGATTGCAGCCAAACTACTTCACATGTTGCTTGAGCTGCACTTCTATATTCTGCTTCAGTGGAGGATCTTGACACAATTGGTTGCTTTTTAGATGACCAGGATATGAGGTTTGCACCAAGATAAACACAGATCCCTGAAGTAGATCTCCTATCATCTACATCTGATCCCCAATCTGCATCTGAGAAGGCTGTGAGGTTGAAATTGGAGCACTTTTGCAAGTTTAACCCAAAATCCTTTGTATCAGCCAAATATCTTAGAATTCTTTTCACAGCCTTCCAGTGTGTGTCTAGGGGACTTTGCATGAATTGACACACTTTGTTGACACTAAATGATATATCAGGTCTGGTAAGAGTAATATATTGCAATGCACCAACAATCTGCCTGTACAAGTATCCATCTGAGATGGGATTACCCTGAAACTTTGATAGTGTTGGATGAGACACCATTGGAGTTTTCAATCCTTTTGCCCCCTTCATGCCAGCTCTATCAAGAATAGAATCAATGTATTGAGATTGGTCAAGCAGAATACCATTGGAAGTGTAGGAAACTTGAACACCTAAGAAGAAATGAAGCTACCCAAGGTCTTTAATGGAAAAATGTGATCTGAGAGATTGAATAACAAGATCAATGTCTGAAGATTGGGATCCTGTAATGATGATATCATCTACATAGGCCAGAACAAAAATAGAAGAACTGGCATTGTGCTTAAAAAACAATGAAGGGTCAGCTCTTGAAGCAACAAATCCCAAAGAGAGAAGAATGGTACTGAGAGTGGAAGACCAGGCCCTAGAGGCCTGTTTAAGGCCACATATAGATTTGTTTAATTTGCAAACTAGGCCTGCATGAGGGTTGATCTCAAAACCAGGAGGCTGCTCCATGAAAATTTCTTCATGTAACATGCCATGGAGGAAGGCATTGTCCACATCAACCTGTCTTAAATCCCAACCAAGAGAAATTGCTATAGAGAGCACTATTCTGATTGTTGTGGGCTTAATAACTGAACTAAAGGTCTCAGTGTAGTCTATTCCTGCATCTTGTGTATATCCTTTAGCCACCAACCGGGCTTTGTGCCTAGCAATTGTGGAGGAAAAGAAGAGCCTCACCGTGCTCAACTTGATTGTGCCGAATCAATTAAACCTCTGCAAAGTGTTATACGGGTCAGAGTTGTTAGCGAGCTCGCTTGATCGACTGTATATATATACTAGTGTGTACCCGTGCGATGCACGGTAACAATATTACATTAACAATATTATAAATATACCTTAAGTTTAAGTCACTCAATGGCGAAAGTGGAAACTACTATTGATCCTATTTAAAAAGGGAAAGAAAAAATAATAATTATATATTGTGTCGGGGTCAGACAATGTAAAATTATTTTGTATAAGAGAATATAAATTTTACATTATTTTGTATAATAGAATATAAAATTTGTATATTTAATATTGAAAACACCTAAAATATTATATTAGTATATGTAAAAGTATTCAAAATTTTCTATATTATTTTTAAAAGATATAAGTCACCTACAACTTTTCTAAACAATTTTAAAAAGAAAACATATCTAAAAACATTTGAATTTAACATTATGTAAAAAAAAAATTCTAGACTATTTCGCAAAAAAAGCATGTCTACAAATAATTAAATTTAGCATCAATTATGTATATGTGTATATATAGACGAATATGTAAAAAACAAATGTCTAAACAATTTGTTTAAAGTAACTAAAATATTATAAGGCTAATTTAATAAACACCTTCGATCAAAAAAAGGAAAAAAAAACAAATATATACACATTAAATCAAATATAATGTTTCGAAATTTCTGCCTAAAAAGTTTAAATGAAAAGGGAAACAAATCAACACAATATCTATTATTTTGTTAACCTAAAAAATTGGAAAAAGGAACCATCACAAAAACCATCGCATGTATTATTTTGTTAACTAACCAAATAGGAAAAAGAAAAACATCACAAAAACCAGTCGCCAGTTTTTTTTGTTAACACTATATCACTATTTATTTAATGATTTTAGAGGCAGTTTTTTTTGTTAACACTATATCACTATTTATTTAATGATTTTAGAGGGAAAATAATGATTTTAGCGGTTTAGAGGAAAAATAATGATTTTGGCGGGTATTTAATGATTTTGGAGGGAAAATAATGATTTTGGCGGGAAATCATAAAAAGGTTATTCTTTTAATATAATGATAGATACCTTAATTTAGCCTTCTGGAGTTGTTAGAAAGTAGAGATTAGTATATCACGATACACTTCCTTCACAACAAGAGGAATGGTAATGCCGGAGTACGAGTCACCTGAGATGCAGAGTAGATTGTTAATGTATTTGAGATGATTTATTAGCCACTGAAAAAACCATTCATGAGATAAAAAAGCATACTTCCTCAGATGCTGAATAGTTTTAAGAATATTAAATGATGAGCTGAAGAATAAATGAAACACAAAACAGGGGGGTTAGAAAAAAAAATTACTTGACGACATTTACTCACCTTTCGAAGGAAAATGTAAGTAAGTTTTGCCGACAATGTGTCGTTTGAGTAATAAGCTGCCGAGTTTTTCGCGTAAGAAAATCTACTACCTGCAGGTTGGTTCAGAAATATAATATCGGCCACTTGTAAATATTTTCGAAATAAAACTTCAGTCTCGACTATGCGCATGCATAACGACCAACCCANAAAAAAAAAAAAAAAAAAAATAGTTACTACCAAAATAGTGAAATACTACCTTTGTCCAAGAGAACATCGTTCAGCGTCAATGGTGGAATTCTCTCGTTCGAATTGGAAATGCCGATGGTGAAGCGACCTATATTTACATATGCCTTTTCTCTTTTTCGCCAAAAATAAAGAATCTTTTCTTACATTGTGGTTATTATTTTTGAGCTACAATATATACATCACTGGTGAAATGAAATATTGCTCAGAACAAATCACGCCCCCGGTTAATCCTGCTGCTTTAAACCATGCTTGGAAACTAATTTTTATAATTTTTGTGAGACATAACCACAGCCTTACATCTGTTGCTCTAATGTGGTTCTCTGGGTTCAAATCCTATGTTTAAGAAAAGTTTGTAACGGAGCAGTTAAGTTAACAAGGTTAGGCTCAATCATTATCGTTTTTGGCTTGAGATCTAAACGAAAAACTCGACCAAGTAGACGTTTTTTGGGCTGGAAGATCTAAACGACAAACTCAACCTGAGTGTACACATGTTTTACGTTTTGAAGCACTAAAGGACAAACTCAACCAACTGAAATTGAGACCAAGCTAGTAAAAAATTCACTTCAATATATAATTGTAGGGTGATTTATTATACCAAAAAAAAAAGTGAAAAAAAAATCAAAAGCACGTATTCTCGGAATACGTTTTTCTAATAAAATTTTATTAGGAAAACGTATTTCGATAATACGTTTTAAAATTAATTTTGTAAAATTTTTTAAAAAAATAATTTCCGTCTAAAAGTCGAATTGAATTAATATTAGTAATTATAGAACGTAATAGAAAATACGTTTTTTAAAACCCTGAAATTGAATTTCAGGGTTTTAGAAAACGTATTTTTCAAATACGTTTTATTTTAAATAATTTAAAAAATAAAATCTATTGAAAACGTTTTTTAGAAATACGTTTAGAAATTTGAATAAAAAAAAATTAAATTTACAATCAAATATAAAAAAATCTCTTCTTCTCCCTCACTTACGCGATAACAGAGACAGAGAGGGGAGATTTTGAAGAAGAGGAAGAGAGCTTCGGCGAAGAAAAAAAAAAACGCGATCTAATCTCTACCCAACGCGAATTGACAACAAACGACACGGGTTTCATTTCCGGTTAATTCATTCGCACAAGGTATATTGACTTATCTCACATTGTTGAAGTTGTTTGGAGATTGTGAATTGTTATAGTATGTTTGAATGTGGTGTTGTTTGAACTTTGGGAATCGGTAATTGTTTATCGAATATGTGTATATGTTGAATTGAAGATTGAAATTTTGTTGTAAATTGTCAATTGTGTATTGGTTAGTTGTTGTTGGGCTTAAGGTTTTCGAAATTAGGGTCAGAATTAGGGCTTTCATTTATCCGAAATATAGATGAATTTTATGTTATTGTTGATTATGGGTATTATGGTTTTGGATGATTATTTGATTGAGAATATTTATTTTGGTTATTTCGTTGAAATAATTGAATTTTTTGGGTGTTGGATTAGACATTATGTGTCGTTGTAATTTGGAATAATTGAAAGTGTCTTTTTGCAACAAGTATTAATGGAGTATTTCGGTCCATACCTTGTTAATTTGTACTGGCATTTTGCTAAGGAAATGTTAAGTGAATTTGTTTTATTTAAAGATCGTCCGGATGGTTCATTGTTTATTGCGGGGAGGATATCATATAAACAATTGGTAGAAATGATTAATGAAAATTGTCGGTTTGGAGAAGGTTGGACAATTCAAGAGATTACTTTAATGGTTAGCCAACTTGATGGTTCGTTGAATTTCGCAAGACTGAATAACGATAGTGTTCTTCAGCATATTTATTACCTTCCTCCTATGTCCATGGTGTATTTGCATAGAGGCAATTACACCGGTTACACAGGTTGGGGATGTTACGGGGGAGTAGATGATTTTGAACGCACGTCGACTTCTCATCTACGTAAATTTGGAGAAGGGACAAGCTCAACAATACAACGGGAAAATGAGAACTGGGAAGAAGAAGAAGGCGATGAAGATTTCATTCCTGATGAAGATGATTTCACAGATTAGACCTCCGAAACCGAATCAGACATATCGATAAATGATGAGAGTGAACCCGAATTGATTGAAGAGGAAAACCCTCTTCCTAGTGGTGGTCGCCACATTTATGCGAGATGGGTGAATGGGAGCCATCGAAGATAGATGAGAACGAGTATGCTTTTCTATTTTGGAATGGCCACATTGACACTATAGGCTTGGGTACAGATTTTAGGAGCAAGGACGAAGCACAATCGAGTATTTTTGTTTGGAACGTTGATAGGCTGAGGGCGTTTCGGACAACAGATTCTAATCAAAAGTCATACAAAGTGGTCCGCAGATCTAATGAAGATGAACCTTGTGTGTGTAAGGCTCGGGTGACTAAGAAACGGGTTCATGAAAGGTGAGAATTAACTGAATGGACCGACAGACACACTTGTATGTAACCGGGCGTATGATTTCAAATCTTGTAATTTAGAAGATTGAAAAGAAACTGCAGATCCAGTTCTTATCTCTTGCACACCTACACGAACCCGTTCTTATCTCTTGCACATAGATCGCTCAGAAAAATATCTCACAAACGCTACCACAGATAACTGTAAACGTTCTCAAATTTCTCTATGATCTCGTGAGACGAGCAGAGAAAAAATATTCCCATGCCCGCACGCACACCCTCGCACACATAGGTCAGACCAAAGGCGTCCCAACGGCGGTGAGTGCAGAGAATTCAGCTGAACTGAAATTCGAAGTACTGGCCTTGATTTAAAAATCTCATTTTGATGTGGACAGGTTTGGAAATTCCGGGAGAGGAATAGCAGATGAGAGGTTAATCGAAGCTTCGAGTTGAAAAAGGTAGGCGTAGATTAAAATGATAATTTTTCTATGTTTGGATAAAATGGGGCAATTGGTGTTTTGGAGTCGGAGAACTGTAACCGCTGGTGAGAATATGGCCGGCGGTTTGATAAGAGTACAATAAGTAGGTAATTTGCTTGGGTTGAAATCCTGAATCGTGAGAAATATGGCCAGAGATTGTAAATCATCTTCTTGCATATATGTGAACTGATTCCTGATTCCTACCCAACAGGTATATAAATCAGAAAGCTGACATAACCAGCCATGTGGAGAAGAAACTCACTTAGTCTCTCATCCAAACTTGCCTACTCTAACTCCGGCTCCTCTCTACTTTACCTCTTCAGAAGTTCCCCTAAATCTGCTAGTTGCCATGGTCTCCTCGCTCGATCCAATTTCTCCGGCCCGGAGACCACATTAGCCACAGATGCCCTAAAATGGTCCCAATCCGGGGCTCGTTCAACTTCTGCTAGTGCCATTGAATTACCGCGGTTGACTGCTGCATCTGCTTTTAAGGCCAAGGAGGTAGCGGACTTGGCTAAGCACTATGGCCAATGTTATTGGGAGCTTTCCAAAGCTCGCCTCAGGTTCTCTTAAGTTTAATTGCTTAACATCCTTTTTTTAAGTTCTGTCTCTACCAAGGCTATACGTCGATACCACTAATTCATTTGTGGAAATTATCTGTAATTGTTGAGATGAACATAGATAAAATTATATTTCGGTTTACCTTTTGTGTTGAAGACTCAATGGTTTTTGTATGCCACGTCCTACCCAATATGGAAAAATGCTGACTGAAGTATTCTACTAGTAGCTTACATATAATTATGATTTTTTCTTTTATTGAATCCGTCAAAAGCAACGGATAAGCAGAGGAGTGAAGAATTACACTGTTGTGTTTGTTTTTTCTCATCCTTTAAATCTTTATCTCCAGCATGCTAGTGGTTGCTACATCTGGTACTGGATATATACTTGGGAGTGGTGGTTCCATAGACTATCTTGGCCTTTGCTGCACTTGTGCTGGCACCATGATGGTTGCAGCTTCTGCTAACTCGTTGAACCAGGTCTTCTGCATTTTTGTTTTCCATTCTTTTAATGCAGATATATATTAAATTTAGAATAATAAGTATGTGGCTGAACGAATTAGCTTGAATCACATTATGCCATACCAAGTTTCTATAGTCAACATGGTCCTGAGGGCATTTTGGGTTTTTGGTTATTTATTGTTACTGCCCTTTTATGTTATCTTTGGTTAATTAGTCTGGAAGACAAATAAATAAAGGAGAAGGCATAAGTTCTTATTTAGAAAATGTTTATATATCTAGCCACTAAAGACTAGTGGCTTGTTTTGTATAACCTTCTTCCTCTTAAAGTCTGGAACCCATATGGCGCCCAGTTTTGTATAACCTTCTTCCTCTTAAGCTGTCTAGTGGCACTATGATTGGTGCTTGTTTTCTACCTTCATTTGGCTCAAACTTAGCTTTGCACTTTCCAATGACATAGGTGTTTGAGGTGAAAAATGATGCGAAAATGATTAGAACGAAACACAGGCCACTGCCCTCGGGACGTATTACTATACCACATGCAGTTGCCTGGGCTGCTTCAATGGGTGTAGGCGGCACTGCTCTTTTGGCTTGCAAGGTGATTATGGACTCTTATGTTTGATAATTTTACGGGTGATCTATAACATTGTTCAAATTTTAAGGATCTATTCTGGAATTTCCTGTGGCAGGCTAATATGCTGGCGGCTGGCCTTGCAGCATCTAATCTCGTGCTTTATGCATTTGTATATACTCCTTTGAAGCAGATTCATCCAGTAAACACTTGGGTTGGAGCTATAGTCGGTGCAATCCCACCTCTTCTTGGGTAAATTTATTTATTTTTGTAGTAGAATTTCATGTACATTATTATGGAGAACTTCTCACCTTCTTTTGATAGATACATTTTGATTAGATGGTAATGACATTGGCTTGGTGATTGATTCACAAGTATTTTTAACTGCATTTATCTCTCTTACCTACTAGTTGCATGACCCGTAAGTCGATAGTTTAAACAATGGAATAAGCATCCCTGTTAAGTTCATAAATCTGTTTCTGTATGATAGATCATATGAAACAAGGCATAAATCATGGATAAGGATTTTCATTGTTGGTTTAGTAGTTATTGTTATTGCTAGATACTAGAGTTTTTTTAATGTTTGGATGATATGATCTTAGAAGGCTCAATCTTTTGAAATCATTTTGGATTTTTTCATGCGTAAGGACTGAAAATATTTTGATGCAATACAAAGTCCACAGATTGAAAAATGTAATTGTTTGAGTTCCTGCATATTTGCTCCGTTCATGTAGCTTGTACAAAATACAATCATATGCTGTTCAATATTTTTAGACAGTTCAAGGTGCCTATCCCTTTAAACTGAAAATAGAAGGATAGGAAAAAAGAGCCTATAGCTTCTTCAAATGTTGGCTGTTAACTTTCATTGCAGTATTAAGAGAATGTTTTTGTATTTTTGTCTTAGTATCAATGCTGAGAATGAGCATAACATAGAACAAGTGGGGCAGCCATTTTGATAGTTGAGCATTCACTTAGATTAGAGTGGCCTGATAATGTTGCAATTACACCATTTCCAAGCAATGAAGCAACCTTGTCAGTGGCATCCGTCGTCATTTCAGCTTTTCCGTTGTGCAGCATGTTTTGGTTATTTATACTCTTGTATGGTTTTGGGGGAACAAAAAAAAGGAAAATCATGCCCTAATGAATGTCAAGTTTTGCATCATGCAGTTATGAACTCATATGGTAGTGCCACACATGTATCCATTTATAAAGTGAGCTTCATTCAAATCAGTGTTGTTTGTTTTCCATTTTTTTTTTGTGGTAAATTTGTTGTTGTAGACATTAATCTGCATGAGAATGATTACAAGCTGAGTGCCTTATTGCAAGTTTATTACGAGGGAGTGTCACGATGTTCATGAATAATATTATGAATAATCAATTTTAACAGCTCTCTGACAAGTTGTATTTTCTGTTTCCAAAGGTGGGGTGCAGCTTCGGGGCAGATCTCCCTTAATGGGATGATACTTCCTGCTGCTCTATATTTTTGGCAAATACCTCATTTTATGGCTCTTGCTTACTTATGCCGCAAAGATTATGCAGATGGAGGGTACGTATGTGTTGTCATTAATTTCGGTTGGTGGTAGATTGATATCTTTTAAAATATATTTCCCAGGTTTGTGTCCTATATAAGCAAACTCTTGTTTTTTGGTTTTCAATGTTAGGTTCAAGATGTTTTCACTTGCTGATTCTTGTGGTCGCAGAACAGCCCTTGTCTCTCTGAGGAACTGTCTTTATCTGCTTCCATTAGGGTATCTGGCTTATGACTGTGAGTGACCATTGTAACTGGACAGTTTTCTTTAGATATAATATATATGGGTGCTGTTTTACAGATGATGATTGTGTCGATGTGCATGTGCAGGGGGTATCACTTCAGGGTGGTTCTTTGCTGAGTCCACAGCGCTTGCTCTTGCAATCAGTTGGACTGCAGCATCATTCTTTGCAAACCGTACAACAAAAAATGCGAGGAGAATGTTCCATGCGAGCCTCCTCTATCTTCCTGTGTTTATGGGTGGACTTGTACTTCATCATCTTCCTCAAGGAGATGATCCTTCGTCTTCTTCTTCATCTTCCTTCCACCCTCTGAAAAACACAATCCCAACCCGACCACCAGTAGCATATGCCTCCGTTGCACCATTCCCATTCTTACCAGCTCCATACATTACTACCTAATCAATTATCGTATGTATTATTGTGTTTGTGAAAAGTTGATTGCCGATTCCAAATTTACTGGATTCAGTGCATGTTTTTGTTGGCTATCTCAATTCAATTTTGATGGTATATGGAGGAAGAACTTTTATTTTTATTTATTTTTTATTTTTTTTATGGATCCATGTAATTTTGAGAGCTGCGAAATAAATGTTGTATGTATGTTGTTTTTTGTTAGTTGTCCTCGTCCGATGATAGTTTTGCATGTTATACTGGACGATGGTTCATGCCGTCTTTTATTTCTTTATGTGGAAAACGTGCACGAAATACTCTACTACAAGTATTTGAACTTACGCTACAAAGTTGTGTTCTTGTCAATAGGAGAAAGTGGAGTGATAGTTAACTATTCATCGCTTTCTGTTGAGATGCAATCAAATCTTATAGCAATATGAAAATTAAATTGGATTGCCAAAATTATTACAATGAGTTTGAGTGGGAACCCGTAAATGCAACTTAAAAACTTGTCGAGTACACTATCCATTTAACGCAAAACGGTCACTAAATACAAGAGAGTTACGTCTCATTTTCATTTTGTTACAGAATTTCTTGTTTTAATTTTCTTTTTATAACTTCATATATGGAAAATATTAATGTTGTTCAATTGGGTTTGAGCGTTGACATACCTATCGAAGTTGTGGAGCCAAAAGGTGACGGTTATCCATGGTGATACCGTTTCTAAACTGGTTAATTACTCAAATGTACTTTATTAGTCTGGTGACCAGTTGGCCGGTTTATTATATTGGCAACGTTGAAGAGTAAACATTTCATGGGATCCGACGAGGGCTGCAAACGAACCGAGCGACTCGCGAACCGCTCACTAGCACTCGAGTCAAAACTCGACTCGAGCTCGAGTTTGACCGAACTTGAGTCGAGCTCAAGCAGCTCGAGCACGAACTCGAGCCCATATTTTGCTTCGTCGAGCGGCTCGAGATACATGTAAATTACTAAAACACCCCTTTATATATATTACCATAGGTATATATATATATATATATATATATTAGCATAGGTCCTTAACGATAATTTTACATTTCCATTTAAAAATTTTTTAGCCGAACTCGAGCCGAGCTCGAACATTTTGATTTCGAGTGCGAGTCGAGCTCGAGCCTCAAAAATCGAGCTCGAACTCGAGCAACTGAAAAAAAAAAATTAATCCTGCTCGATAAGGCCAATGCTCGACTGGGCTCGGCTCGTTTGCAACTCTAGATCCGACCTAGTAAAGTTGTACCGTTCATTATAATTGCTCCTCCAAATACCTATTCAGTATATTCAAATTATATTAAGTGACACTTAATTCCTCTTCTTCAACACACACTTAATTTTAGCACTGTATTCTAATTATTTAAGGAATGAAACAACTATGAGAAAACTGCATTTTTCCCATCAAACAACTTTGTTTATCAATATGAACCAAATCAGCAGCTTTCAGTCTTTCCATCAAATTCACCAATATAGACGCAACACCTTGTACTAGAAACAACATTATGATATAACGAGTAAAGTAATAAAATGAAAAAGCAATAAGTTAACCTATCAACTCCAATGGGGAAGGAAACCAACTACGTATATGTGTATATTACGAAACCACCTGCATGAAATTGTTTGTTTGAACTAAAGCTGAATAAATATATAGTTTTCAACTCAACACTCATCAATCAAACATCGGTAAGAACATAACTTTGATAGTTGATACCCTCGTTAAGATTCTCAGAACTTGTTTTATAATCCAAAAACCAACAGCACATACGAGGAGCAAAAACTATCACAAATCACAATATACTAACAATCAAACTGTCTCAATTATGACCTCATAGTAAAAAAAAAAAACAATGAAATCCAACATTCTTTGACAGTATGTATAGAGCAAAAGAATGATTACGGAACATCATCACCACCCCTCATATTCTTCCTCAACTCTAGATCGTCAATATAATTCTGATAGATGTAAGACCCAAATCCCCAAAACGCCATCAACATGGCAACAATCTTCACACCATTCATGTTATCATGGAAAACGAGCAACGATGCTATCGGCGTGACGGCCAGCGAGAGAGTACTAATGACATTCGAGAAAAGTGACGAGACCACGAAGATCAAGCCCACGACCCCCACCGAGCAGACCTGCCACGACACTGCCGTGCAAACGAGCGTCATCACGTACGAGAACCTCCCGCTCGCAAAATTACCCATTTCGCCCCCGAGACTCCTCCATTCCCCGCTCGCGAAAAGACCCACGACCGCCACACAAGTCGCCACAACCGCAGTGTACATCTGCATTTCAAGAACGACCCCGAAAGTCTCCTTCTTCAAGACTTTTTCGAACGTCAGCTGCATTACGGACAGCAGGAGAGAATAGAGGGCACTGGCGGCAACGGCTGTGATGATCCCAGTTATGTATTTGCGGGTGGTGACCCCGAAAGGCCTGTCCGAGTCCTCGTTGATGCCAAGAAGGACGGCCGACAAAGTGAGGATGACCACCGAGTTGAATATGAGGGCAGTCAACTTTTGGCGGTTGATGAAGAAGGAGAAGATGGCGTTGAAGGCCAGCTGGGTGGCACAGATGAGAGAGTAAGTGGAGGCCGAGAGGTATGAGAGGGCAACAGAGTAGAGCATGTTGTCTCCAGCAACCACGGCCCCAATCACGATGTATACTGCAGTTAAAACGAGCAACGAAGGTGGGGCCAACAGAGGCTGAGGCTCGTCACGCAGGAAAAAGTAGGGCACGAGGAGAACCGGGAAAGCGGCTGTCTGGACTAAAGTGGCCATCCATTTACTGTTTCCGCCTTTCTCGTAATAGAATCTACCCAAGAGGACAGCAGCAGCTTGGCCCACGAGGAGGAATGTTATGTTGAGGACGACCAGAATCCACCAGTGCACACGCTTCAGCTTCTGCAGCGGGTGCTGATAAGTATCTTTTGCCAGAATCGGGATTTGATTATCTGATATACATTACAAGCAATGAATCTCTGCAAAGGCTAATAAGCTAATTGAAGTTGAACAAATAATGTTTAGGCGTCTTTTATTTTGCATGAGAGTTCACTATGGTCATATTGTCATCGTGTGCATTCCTGCAAAAAAACATATGCAGACATATCCAGAAATGGATAGATAGGACATAGGAGTGGTGGAGAAATTTCATAGAGTGAGCCATAACCCACCCAACAGACAACATCTTATACAACATTTTCCCACATGCCATACTTTTTCTGCTTCAATATTAAGTTTTCTAAGCAATGATGAAAAGGGCTTGACTTTCCACTAGGTTCTTTCCTAAACGCTCAACATTGTAGCTCCGCTCAACCAATCCCCATTGAGATACTGCCAATCAAAGGAAATTGCAGTTCGTGACCTAATAACTACTCAAA